TCCCTGGGAGACGCATGGAAAATTCAGTTTTATTATTATTATTTAACTGGCATGTTTTGGTGATTCATTGTTTCTGTAAAGATCAGAATTCACTGTGGATTTATTTTGGCCCTTGTCCTTGTTCTACCATCTAGTTAGTGTATTAGGACATTGTTTTTGGATGAGTTATTAGGCAAGTGGTTCCATCAGTGATAGTATTAGTTGCATTACACCTGCAGAGACCAGACTTATGGACCTCAGCCTGGGTTGTGAGCCCAGAGTGAAGGAAGACTCACTTGACTTGGGGATACAGTGATATAATCTGATTTAGTGCTTCTCCCAGGAACACCCGCTTAGTGAAGTGCCTATGGAGTCTCAACTGCGTAGTAAAGCTGCCCTCTACTGAGATAAATGCCCCGGCTGGCATAGGTAGCCATGGGGATGGAGGAAATATGCAGATTCAATGTCCTGTGTCCCAAGGGAGGAATCCAGTGCCGGATTATGATATGCTGAGGTCCTAAACTATATCCAGTTGTTATTAGCAATTAGAGGCCCCATGCAATAAAAATAATCTACGAAATCCTCAAAAATGGATTTTCATGAAATTTTAAGATGAATTATTGTTATTTTTGCACAAATTTATGAACTCAATATGAATAATAAATGTGGAGCCATATATATGTATATATTTGTCATATTAGAATTGAAAAAGTTCAGGTTTTTTTCTTATTTAGAGGCCCCTTGTATTGTGAGGTCCTAAACTGTAGCTTAAACCTAAATCTGGCACTGGAAGAATCTATCACAGTTCTGAGAAAGGGCCTCTTCCAATTGTTATGGCATGGCGAAAATCCTTTTAGCTTTCAGTAGAAGCAAGATAAAGGTCACAGTGTTCCCTGCCTGGAATATATATATCCCAGTATAAGTCATGGGATTTGTACAGGTTTGGGGGAGTTGGTTAAAATAGCAACAGCTGGGCCTTGCTGCAAAGAAACTGTACAGCAGTGCAACTCATGTCTCTGCCATCTCCTAAACAGGAGAGAGACTTGAACTATAATGTTTGGAGTGGGGCTTGTATCCAGGGATTTGATTTAGACCATTATAATAAGTCTATTTTTAGAATTTAATTTCAAGTCCAGGCTTTAAAAGATTTGGGACCGGGTGGGGGAGTCCGATCCAATTTTATTAGGGACATGTTTGTGAAATGGAAATGTCTCATTGTCATAAACTGCTGGCTCATTGCATTTCAGGGCTATTACAGGAGGACACCAGATTATGCCCTGATCAGGGAATGGAAGAAGAGAGGCTGTTTTGCTGTCCCCATGGTTCACTCCACATTCCTCATTGACCTCAGGAAAGAGGCCTCGAAAAAGCTGATGTTTTACCCACCGCATCAGGATTACACCTGGAACTTTGACGACATCATTGTCTTTGCCTTTTCCAGCCGCCAAGCAGGTATGTTTGTGAACTTACAATGACGAAAGACTAAACTCGAAGGCCTGCCATAGTTAAGAGGTTAATTTTTAAAAACAGTGGGTTGAATTATGCCCTGACTTACACCCTCTCTGCCAATTGACTGTAGTAGCATTTAATCAATGCTGTACAGTTTCTATCTACTCTTGTTTTGTTTTGCTTTTTTGATGGGGGGGGGGAGGGGTTTAAATAGTAAGACTTCTTTCTAAATTCTTGTGTTCTTACTGAACTGTGCCTGAAACTGCCCAGTTTTCAGGCTGCTTCTGACTGTCCTCCAGTGTTCTGTTCTGGTAACTACTGTTTCCCTTCCTTTCCCACACCCTTGCCCCTTCAAACTGTGAATGCATTTAGTAATGGTGAATGATGGCTCTGGAGACGGTAGTCTACAGAACACACACTCCAGCTGTAAACAGACTGTTGCACTTTTTTCGGGAGAAAACCTTTTGTCCTGGGATCTTCAAAATCCTCTTGAAGATGAAATGTTCTAACACTCCCCCTCCACATCATTGTGTGCACTGCAAGCTAATTGCAGGTCATTCAAGTTAGTTGCGGGTGATTCCAGGGACAAACCTGTCAGGCTGTGTGCTTTTGCTGCCAGAGGAACAGTAATGCAGTTTGGCAGGGCTGTATACATAGATGGCCATATCCAGAGGTGGGTTCAGGATTTTATGAAGGGACATGTGGGAGAAGTGACCATGGCCACAGGGCTGGCTGCACCCCATCTCCCAGCTGCAGCTCCCTGCATTGGGTTTGGTAGGCTATGCCACAGGAACAGCAACAAGGAGTTGAAGTCCCCAGAAATGTAAGAATTCCACTCCCCTGCTCTTGGCATCTGCTCCCTTCCCCTCCATTCTCAGCAGAGCATCTCCTCCCCTTGCCCTCCCACTTTTCTCCTCCACTGCCACCATCCCCACTGTCCTTTGCTGCACCAGGAGCCAGGGAGGTTAGAGAGTTGCTCCTGCCTGGCTCCAGCCAGGTACAGTAGCAACAGCAGTGGCAGCGGGTAGGTTCCTCCTTCCTGCCTGTTCCTCCTGGGTGGTGGTTTGGGAGGCATGTAGAAGAAGGGCTCCAGAGAAGCTGCAGCCAGGCTCAGCAGGGGACAGCAGCAGTGGTGGCAGCAGGTTCCCTGGCCACCTATGCTTGCTCCCAGGCTCACGGAGAACACCTGAGAAGATGGTAAGAGAGGAGGAACCTACTTCTGCTGCTGATGATTCCAGGTGGAGTAGGCAGGTGCAACTCTGGAGCCACCCCTGTCGCCTACCCCACTTCTGGATCAGCCAGGACAATGGGGACCGAGGCTGATGGGAGAGGGAGGGGATAGTGCTGCTAAGGAAGAGGGGAAGGGGTAGGGAGATGGGTGATATGGGATTCTTACCTTTCTGTGGACTTAAAAAGAGAAAAAAAATCCCCAGCTGCTGCTCCTAGGGCCACGTCCAAAAGAGGGGTGCGTCTGCACCATTGTACCCCTTCTGGATCCACCCCTGGCTGTGTCTCTCTTGTTTTGATCTGGGTCAAAACTTGGGACCATCAGGATCACCTCAAATGAGGAGTCTGTTTACAGCCTCCATGGGCAGTCACAGGCCATGCCTCCACTAGCTGCATTGCAAGCTCACAAGGAGTTTCAGCTCTCTCATCTCCCCTTGATGCTCCTCTGTCACCTTCTCTTACTCTTGGTTTTTTTTTCATCTAAATTTCTTCCCCTTGTACTGAGGCTTTACCCCTCCAATTTCAAATCCAGTCAGGCAACAGGAAACATTCCACGTGTCCTCTTAGAGATAACCAGTAACTTATAGTGAGCAATCTTGCTTATGATCCATTCAAAGGATTCACCAAACAGGTTCAAATAATAAGTTCAAGGTGCTTATAAGGTTTATGGGGGGATCATTCATAACTAAAATAAAAGGCAAACTTATTTCAAGTAAACCATTCCGTCAGTGGATCAATGGCAGAAAAGCAGCAGTGAATTCAGTGGCTCACTAAAGTCAGATTGGAAGGGCAAGAAGTGCCCACACCATGACTTTTGTGTTCATGGGCAAATGCAGGCACAACTGGTCTCAGGATAAATGTGACATCTGTTCATACCCTAAGAACGCTGATAACTTTCTTGCCCTAGCATCAGCAATTGCTCTGAGAGAGTAAAACACTGTGTGAGCAGTAGGTGAAGGATGGTAAACAGCTTCCTCTGGGAGACAGCATAAGGAAATGAAGTGAGAGACACTTTGAGAGCTCAGCAACCACAACAGAGAAGAAAAAAGGGTCAGGAAGAAAGTTACTTACCTCTTTGCACCTGTAAGGCCTTAATCAAGGGCAGCTCAGC